CACATATGTGCCGGTGGTGCCGCTGCAGATCCACACGAAAATCCGTGCAGCCGCCCCACCCGCACAGAGAAATGCGAACACTGGAAAACGCAACTGTACTGGGAACTGAGGCTGCATTTTCAGAAGAAGTGCAGGGACTTCTTCCCTGCGTGTCACGGGGGTACGGGAGTCCATTCAAATAAATTGGCTCTCGTGCCTGTGCAAAATGCGGCCTGCACGTCTTCATATACAATATGTGAACCTGGTTTCATGGTGTCAGGGCATGTCAGTCCTAAGATTCCTGCAAAGCATGGTGGTCTTGTTTTTTCGCCTGGAGAACTAGACGAGTGAGAACCAACTGGGGTCTGAACATCACACTTGAGCACAAAAGGTCGTTTATTGTCTCCAAACACCCCTCTCCCCCGTTTGTGTACCATTTTATCACTACATGGTACACAAACGTAATGTGCTAGGCTGGCTCACTTTTTTACAGGGGGAAGTTTGGAATTAGGGGAATGATGTATGCGACTATACTTAATGTTCCACTTTTTATATAGGTTCAATAACCCAACCCGTAATCTTCGCTCCTCACAAGACCTCCTACTTTCTAGCTCCCTGGTCTCCACCTCCCACGCCCGACTGCAGGACTTCTCCAGGACTTCCCCCATCCTCTGGAACTCACTGTCCCAATCCATCAGACTGTCACCTTCCCTCCTTACCTTTTAGGCGCACCCTGAAAACCCATCTCTTCAGGGAAGCCTACCCCACCGTCGCCTAACTGCCGATCTCCTCCACTCCTCCTACCACTCCATCCCCCACAGCCACTTCCTCCTGTGCCACTATCCCCTCCCTCCTAGATTGTAAGCTCGAAAGAGCAGGGCCCTTGAACCTTCGTGTATTGTCTGTTGCTGTATTGTCTCGTGTTCTGTCCCCACTATAATGTACAGCGCTGAGCAAACCTTTTTGGCGCTATATAAACACTGTATAATAATAATAATAATAATAAAATGAAATCCGGTCTAAAAAGTGGAGTTAGCCTTTATGTTAACATTACATTTTTATGAAGGTCCATACATTTGTAGAGAAATAAGGTCAGGGGGATTCGGGAGAGGGACCGTCCCCCCAAATAAAGGAACAGTCAGTACCTTGCCTGTTATATATGCGAGGTTGTTGTTTGGACGGCGTGCAATGTTTGGAATTCGCTCGTTGTAGAGGTTGGCAGGACCCAGTCCTCTAACACACCCCGAGACTGTAATAAACGTCCTTCCTATGGAAAAACACCTACAAGACAGGCCGAGTCCTGCCCAGTGCAGAGTGAAATATTACAGCCATTGTAGAGAAAATCCTGGCAGCCATCATTGCCCGCTGACAGCTCATAGGAAGCCTCACTTCCAGTCTTTGTCAGGAAGTTATTATCCCAAAATGATAGAGGAATTACAAATGTGTTTTATCTCCGCACCCCTCCCCAGCATGAACTTCACATTGTGAATATCTGTATATATCAGCACCGGTAATCCTGGAGCCAAGAGATCCAACATCTGATGGGAATGCAAGCAGGCAGCATGCTAATAAAGTACCAATAATAATAAAATAGTAATAATAGGAGTGTAAGCTTCTCTGCTGCAGAGACTGATGTGGCTCAGTGTTCTCTGTACAGCATCATGCAATATGCCAGAGCCATTTAAATGTATAATAATAGTGTGTGGCTGTTGTTGGGACATTAGAGCCAGGGCTGGGACAAGGGGTGGGCAGGAGGGGCGGCTGCCCTGAGCACTGTGATATCATGTGAAGTAGGGGGGCACCACAAGGAGGTTGGGGCAATGGGATTTGTGTTGGGAGGGAGAATTTGGAGGGCAGGGCAGGGGATAAGAATTGTTCTAGGAGGGGAAATCTGGGGAGGTGTGCTAGGAGTGGTGATTTGAGGGGATTTGTGTTGGGAGAGGGAATTGGGAAAGAAGATTTGTACTAGAGGGGGAAATTTGGATGGTTTGTGCTAGAAAAGGTAATATGGGGGGGGGGGGGGGGATTTAGGCCAGCAGGAATGATTGGGGGTATTTGTGCTAGGGGGAAATTTGGTGGGATTTGTGTTAGGATAGAGGATTGGGGAGAATTTGTGCTGGTATGGGAGAGATTTGGAGTGGGGAGAGAAGATTTGTGCTCAGAGATTAAATTTGAGGGGTAGAGGCTTTGCACTTGGAAGGGGGAATTTTTTTCCGGGTGGGGGGGGGGGGGGTGGACTTGTGTTGAGGGTGTATGGGGAATGAGGGGATTTGTGCTGGCAGGGGATTTCAGCAGGGGACAGATTTGTACTAGGATGGGGAATTTATGCTTAGGGGGTAGGAACGCAGAGTCGTTCTTGATTCTTTTTTTTTTGGGGGGGGGGGGTTGCTGACACATAATGCTCGTACATCTTGGGGCGGGGGCACAATTTGGCATGTTCGCCCGGGCTCTAGATGATCTTGTCCCCGGCACTGATTAGAGCCTATGCTCCTCTGGTGCAGAGGTTGTTGTGAATGGCTCGTTGTTCTCTATACGGCACAATGGAAGAAGTCAGAGCTATATATAAAAGCATAACAAAAATAGGTGTGGCTGTGTGGTGGGGACATAAAAGTGTAAGCTCCTCTGAGGTAGAGACTGATGTGACTAGCTCAGTGTTCTTTGTACAGCACTCCTGAATATGTAAGAGCTATATAAATGTATAATAATAATAGTGTGTGACTGTTATGGGCACATTAGCATGCAATCTCTTCTGGCGCATACATTGATGTGAATGGCTCAGTGTTCTCTCTGTACAGCACTACGGAATAAGTCAGAGCTTTATAGAGGTGTAACAATAATAAGTGTGACTCTAGTGGGACATTAGAGTGTAAGCTCCTCTGAGGCTGAGACTGATGTGACCAGCTCATTGTTGTGTGTACAGCACTGCAACACATGTCAGAGCTATATAAATGTATAATAATCACAAAAGTGTGTGACTATACTGTGACAGTGGTGCATACGTTCCTCTAGTGCAGAGACTGATGTGAATGGTTCAGTGTTCTCTGTACAGCAATGCAGCATAGGTCAGGGCTATAGAAATCTGTAATAGTAATTAATATTAATAATAATAGTGTGTGACTGTGATGGCACATTAGAGTGTAAGCTCTTCTGGTGCAAAGATTGCGGTGAATGGCTCAGTGTTCTTTGTATAGCATTATGGAATATAATCACAGCTATATAAAACTTATAATAACTATAAACAATAATAGTGTAATTGTAGTGTGGACATTAGAGTGTAAATTTTTTGTTTATTAAAATCTTGCAAACAAAAAACATCATAAAATCATATTTACATATATACAGAATAAAAATATGTAGAATTTTAAACAAAACCAGCTTACTTCAGCAAAATAACAAATCCTGACCGTCACCTAAAAACCCACCCCTCAGGCTAAGAAACGAACTTTAAACATTCACCCATACATTGATCCCTACACTTTCATCCCCCACACATTGTTCCCATACATCGTGAAATCCCATGCATGCAGCCTTTCTTCAAAAAATCTGATGTTACAAAATCTAGGGGACGTGAAAGGACAGAAGAGAGAAGCCACGCACCCCCAGAGACTGACAGACAGCAGCTACGGGACCTGACATTCCTCCACGCCTTTGTCCAGGGCTCCCGGCCGCCACCTGTCCTTCTCAAGACCCCCGAATCTTCCCAACCTCACTCCCCAGAATGTTGTTCACCACCACCTCGACAGGAAGGACTTTTTGCGAATGGAAACCTGACACCGTGCATTCAGTTCACGTGTGGTAACGGACTACTAAGCTAACTAGAAAAAGTGTCTCAAAATCAAAATCCCGGTGAGTCTGAAAGGCTCCGTAAGACCACTTCCGCGTAACTCAAGCGGGAAAGGAAAGGGATCCCCAGAGCCCCACCCACCCGCTTGTAGACTTCTATATTGAAGGGGCACTGAAGCAAGAAATGGTCCATCGTCTACTCTCCACCCACCGCACTCCACTCTTGGACAACCACGGTTCTCTCCGCAGAGCGATGCTTCAGAGTTTGCCCCTTCACATAGAGTCTGCCATGGAACGAGAGCCAGGCCCAAATCCCCGAAACTTTAAAGGGATTCTCTCTCCAGATTCATCAAACGCAGACCCTCACCCTCATAACCGGTACGGGCCTGGGCAATCCCTCAAGCCAATGGCTCGCTAAAGGCAGATCAATCAACAACCCTCCATGCTCCAGGGCCTTCCTAGGAGAGATTTAATTTCCTCCCGCCGTCACTCGCCATTGCCGAAGCATTTTCAGACCACGGGGCAACATAAGCCGGGAGCGCGTTACCATGTTGGACCTCAGGCTTTTCCACTTGGCCCACCATTCTCCCAGCTCCGTACGTGAAAAAGCCCTAAACCCCCAGGACTGATAAAAAACCAACCCACCCAGGCGGTTCACCCTCTGCCAGCATGCTACCAAATTATGTTTCAAAAACATCAGAGAAAAGAAAACCACGGGTTGACCATACCTAGGCCACCCACCCCCTGGGAAGGTAGGTTACAGACCTCTTAATGAGGTTCAGTTTGTGCCCCCATAACAGCTGGAAGAAACAACTGTAGATCCTCGCATAGAGAGGACACTGGCAAAAACACAGACAAAGCTGACATACAGAAATACCGGGATCAGGTAAGTTTTAATCAGGTCAATCCTTTCCCTGTAGAGAGTTTTCCAATCCTTCCAGCTGGCTCACCTTGGCATCGGCATCTTGTAGCCTGCTTACCCAATTTGCAAGGCCGTAATCACCGGGACCAAATCTGATGCCTAATACTTTAATTTCCTGCTGGGGCTCTGGAAGGCGTCCGGAAGGGTAAAGTCCTTTCGCCTTCCTCTCCCATCCAGAAAACCTCACTCTTATCCTGAGATTGGATCTTGTGAGCCAGATGCCTATTCAGCATACTGTTCATCACCGAGACACACCTCCTCGCCTCCTGCGTCCCGGAGATGAAAACAGACACGTCATCAGCATAGGCCACGACCCTCAGGAGGGGGCTCCCCAGGAATGCCCAAAGGAACTCCACACAACGGTCCGCTCTCTAAACCTCCGAATGAAGGGATCGATTACAAACGCATATAGCAGAGGACTCAAAGGACACCCCTGACGCACACCTGAGCCAACCTCAAAGGGTCGTCCAATCCAACCATTCACAAGCATGAAGCTTTCAGCCCCTCTGTATAAGGTCTTTAGCCAATCGATAAAGCCCCCCTCCAGGCCATACTTGCCCAAGAAGCAGCCATAGGTACTCATGATTGACTCGATCAAAAGCTTTGGCCTGATCCAATGCCAGCAGGAACTTTCCCCAGCCTGCAGCCCTGCACCGCTCCAGGGCCTCCCGGACAGCTAACACCGCTGAAAAAGTGCTTCTTCCCTGAACCGAACAGTGCTGATGGCGAGAAAGTAAATTGCCCGCAACAGACGATAAACGCCAGAAAATAATTTTTGCCAATATCTTCCTATCAACATTGAGAAGGCTAATGGGCCGCCAATTCTCAATTCTCGAGGAAATCCTTACCCTTTGACAGAAGAATCACTGCAGATTGTCGCATGGAGGGAGAGAGCGAACCCTCTCATCAGACAGCCATTAAACACCCTCCACCAAATATGGGGCCAGAGTCACTTAAAGTGCTTATAAAATTCGGCTGTCAATCCGTCTGGCCCAGGCGACTTCTTCATGGCAAGCTGATCAATAGCTTTCACCCACCTCATCTGCCGTGATGTCCCTCTGTCAAACTCACAAGAGAACTGCCATTTCCCAGTCCTGGAGTAGAGTCCAGAAAACCCGACATGCTCTCGCTCGTTCGATCGAGGTCCCTCCTACCCAGGAGGTCAGCATAATATGACCTGGAGGTTTTCCTGGATCCCCTGACTTGGACTTTGTCAGGGAACCCGTACTGTCAAACCAGGCCCACAACTGACTTAACTGCTCTACCTTGTTTGCAGTTCTGGTAAGGGTCGGGCGAGTGATATTTCCCATAATCCGCTTTCCAGAACCAACAGAGGCATGCCTGTCATATTGACACTGCCTGAGGCAAGACTCCGAGCTTTTAACCTCAGAGATCGCTTCTGGATCTCCATTATTCGAGACAAGCCGGATCGAGCTTCCTCCGCAGACGCTGGTAGGTGACATACTTATCAAGCTGTTTATCTTCCTTCCTATGGCCTTGAAAAACCCAACGATCCTTCGTTTTGTAAGCTCCCACCACTCGGACTTACTGCTGCAAACGTCCATGATATGATACCTGTGCCTGAAAAAAATCCTCAAAGGATTGACTCACCTTCTCATCGTCCAGGAGTGCCGAATTCAGCTTCCAGGTACCCCTCCCCTTAGGTGGTGTATCGGGGCCACTCAGAGTTCACAGACAGAATACAGTGATCGGAATAAAACTCTACCGCCTGACACCACTGGTGCCGAGAAGGCGGAGTTTCCCCTTTAAAAAAAAACCTATCTATTCTAACTCTGACTGGAACCTCTCTGAAAAGTGAATCCCGTGTCGTCTGGGCAGCAATGAATGTGGCACGAAAATCAACCAGACCTGCCTCTCTAGCTATTTTGTTTAAAAAAACCCGTCACAGTCCACAGCCTGACCTCCGGTCCCTCTCCTGTCCTTAGTCCCTAGTGACGTGTTTAAAGTCACCACCGAAGACAACTTGCTGGGGCTGTAAAAAGGAAAGGCTTTGATCTTCATGAAGAGCGCATTTCCTGTCCCATTTTGTCTGGGGGCCCATAGATGTTAATCAGGCGCAGCGTCCTGCCCCCCCATGGAGACTCGTCATAAGACCATGCATCTCCCCATTTCTACTACTCAATAATCCGCCGACAAGGTTACCATGCCGGAAAAAGTACCTAGGGATAACTCCAGTGTAAGGCTCGGCCAACGCAAGAGACCAGAAGGAGGGGCCAAATCGCCTCCACTCCTTCTTCGCCATATGAACATCCCCCAAAACTGGACAACCTGGTCTCCCTGCAAAAAGAAAAATGTCAGCATCAAACCTGAATGCTGAGCAAAAATAAGGCCATGTTACCGAGAGCGCTTCTGATTTTATGCTGCGACATTAATGGTGAGACGTCGCCACCTTCAAAGGAGTGGGAACCGCCATCAGGATGATCCGACAGGATGATGGTACCAGGTCGTCTTCTATAGCTGCTTACCCCCCTCCCTACTTGGAGACCCTACACGCTTCATAGTCCTCTGTGTTTCCTAACCCTCCATGGAAACCAGAGACTCATCCCCTGAAGATCCCTCATAGCCCTCCACCTCAGATAACACTTCAAATGTTTTTGAGAACACCTCACACCCTCACAGGGTCAGGTACAAGCACATCCTTCTTCCGCTTTCTTCTTCCCAGACTTCCTTTTTGCCTCCAAACCACTCCATATCATCATTTGATAAACCGGGCTCACCCGCAAAGCCCCCCCTCCCCTTCCCTTCCACCATCACCAACAACATCATCCACCCCACTCTCTCCACTCACCACACAGCAGTCCCCCCAACCTTCACCCCCAACACCCCCACCATCATTCACTCCACCCCCCCCAGCGCCTCACGCGCTCTGACCCTACCGACGCCGGGGAGGGGGGGTCGGTGGCACGACCAACCATACACATTGGTCCAGTTCCCTCCACAGCCCCCACTACCTCTGGGGAAACTGACACAGGAGGATCAGTACACAACATCCACGGACACTGACTCAGGGGGCACAACACACGGAGATGACACATTAGAGGGACCATCAGACACTGGGACCACAGGGACAGAGAACATTGGGGACCCCTGGCCGCAGCCCCCTCATCCTCTGCCTCCTCCTGTCCAGACGAAAAAAACTCTTCCACCAAAGCTGACTGGATTGTGGCATGGCCTCAGGGCACCGGTTTGTAACGAATGGCCAACCTTATCACACAGATTGCACCTGATGATATTACAATCCTTAGCCAGGTGCCACAGATCCTGACATAGGGAGCACTTCATCTCTGGGCATGAGGAGGCGAAGTGACCCCGAGAACCCACCGCACTTATTGCAGAGCTTGGGCTGCCCAGGGGTAGACACCACAATCCTGTCCTTCCCAATGAAGGCCTGAGGAGGGCAGATGCTGGACCACATTCCCACATACACATACAAACCTCATCTGCACCGACCACCCACCAGTCCATATCCCTCTCTCATCCACAATTCTTCCTCAGGGGTGCAAGTAGCTCCCCAAATCTCCTCAGCCAGACAGCCAAGTCAGCCGAAGGAATGGACTCTCATTCCGGTCTAGAATGGTGACCGTCTTCCACTAGAGGTTGGCGTGAGACAACCTTTGGGACGAGTCCCTTCCACTCCGGCAGACCCTTATACATGTGTCCATACTTCTCCCAGAATATATCCAGAGACTCGGGCGCACAAAGGACAGGTCATATTCAGAGGATCCTACAGGGCTGATCAAGGCGAAGATGTCATCCGCCCTAAACCCCCATCTCCAAAATCCTGTCACCACCGACATCCTGACCGGGGGAGCACCCCCACCTTCCCATCTGAGCTGCACCAAATTCCTCCTCCTGAAGGACAGGGGTGCAGATGGCAGACCTGCAGCAGACCTCCCCCAGAGCTGACAACATGATGTGACCCCCCTCCTCCCAGCCAGAGCCCCAGCATAGGTCTTATTTGCAGCATTAGATGTAGTGGACCTTAAAGCTGCACCCCGCCCATTGGTTGCAGGAACCTCAGAGCCCCCCCACGCTCTGCAGACCACCATCAGAGGCAGCAGCAGTCCCTCCATCCACCAACACACAGGCATTCCCCTTTCCAGCATTGCAAGCACTCTATTAATCATCCATATGTTTCCTTTCACTCGTGGCACTACTGCTCCCAGCAGACCCACTCACACCAGATGCTCCTGTCTCCCCCTCCCCAACATACTCCTCTTAGGCAAAAAGCCTTCCACTCCTGGTCACTCTCCCCTGGGTTTCAGCAACCCCTTTCAGAGTGCTGCTGACAATTTCCCTCCCACCATTTTCTGCTGCATTTGCAGCCATCAGCAGAGGTTGTCCAGCAAGTGTGTCAGATCCCCCCTTTACCTTCCCCCCAGCAGAGTCCACAGTCCCAGGGTTCCTGGTATCAGAGTCCTCAGTCCCAGCAGAGTGCAGTCCTGCAGGCACAGCAGCCATCTTCCCTGCAGAGCTCTGTGCACACACAGGAGGATTTCCCTCCAAAAAACACTGCAGTGCACATGGCTGTCCACACTGGAGTCCAAAATGGCACTTTTAATAAAGCGCGGAAGGCTTTTTTCTGTTTTTTTCTCCCTTTAAAGGACCAGGTACAGAGTCCTCACCGTCATCTTCATCCTCAGAGTCCTCAGAAAAACGGAAAGTTCTTCCCAATTAGGGAAGACTCCAATTCCTCAATGTACTTTAGCAGTCCCTCCGCCATATTCCTCTACCTCCTGTGCTGTTCCTCCAGCTTGCTGTGGAGGGAGGGAAGCAGAGGCTGACATTTCCTCCAGGGAAGCAGATCCTGAGGTGGATGGGATAGCAGGGGCAGCATCCAGGACCCCCTCCTCACTCTCCACCCGTACTGCCACCGCCGATGCTGGATCCTTACCGGAGTCTCCCTTCATCTTCCGGAACCTCTCCTCATTCCGGAACTTTTCTCTGAAAGCTCCGCTCTTCTCCTTCAGCGTCTTTACCAGATTCTGCTGCTTCTTAATGGCGACCTCCCAAACCCTTCATCTCCGGCTTCATGCTCTGCCTCTTGCTGCTCCATGACTTGTCATCATGGAGAACTTTCTTCTTCTTGTAGTCAGTTTTCAGACTCACCAACTTTTCCTCCTCCTTTGCGATTCTCACCAGATAATCAGCAACCCGCTCTCTAAAGACAGGGAGGGATTCCCCACTTTTTAGGGCCACAGCCAAGGTCTTCAGGTGCTGGTGAAGTATGGGAAGGCAAGCTGGGTCCCTCAGGGGGGAGCATGGTCTGAGCCTAGCCCAAAGAAGAGGCCATGTTTCTGGGGCCAAGGCGAGCAGGCCTGGCCCCCTAGTGTCTGGAGAGGGAGAGCAACTGCAGCACAACCTCTCTGGTGCAGAGTGTAAGCTCCTCTGGTGCAGAGACTGATGCGACTGACTCAGTGTTCTCTGTACAGCACTGCAGCATATGTTAGAGCTATTTAAAGTGGTAGTAAAGATAAAAAAAAAAATAAGTTTTCCCCCTGCAAGGTAATCTAATATGCTAGTTGTGTGTTAGTATGCACCGTATACTAGCTCACATTATGA